TAACGTCCCTGTGGACATAACGTCCAGGGCGGCCCAGGGAGCAGGGCCCATCCCCGAGTCTGGCGGGGCACACCGCCGCCCACGCCCCTGAGCCCCGGGGGGGGGGCTCTCCCCACTTGTCTGGCTCTGAACCTGGGAAGCGGAAGCTCGGCCTGGAGACGGCCCGCAGGACAGTGGTTTCCACGGAAACCTCTCCTGGCTTCACTTCAGGACGCCCGCTCTCCGGGGCTGAGTGACGCCGCGTGGCCTTCCTGTCCTGCTCTGCTCGTCACGGCTGCGCTATCTCTCCGTCCGCGGCGCGTGCGCCAGCGCCTGTGCCGGCTGCAGTACGTGGTGTCTCGACTGTGCCGCGTCTGCTGTCGCCCCCGCCCCGAACGACCCTTCCTGCGATGTCCCCGTCACGTGTGTGATTCACATGCCTGATCCTTCTCCCTGGGATGGCACCTTTCATTTCTGCCTTGTCTGAGCACATGAAGCCACCGGAGCCTGCGCGTAGCCTATGGGGCCCTGTCCCTCCATTTCACGAGAAAGCAGATCCGAAGGAGTCAAACCATTAAAAATCCAGTAAGCAGAAGAAAACGTAGGAAAAAATCTAGACAGCCTTCAACTTGGTGATGACTACTTAGAGACAACACCAATAATACAACTATAACAGAAAAAAAATTGATAAATTGAACTTCATTAAAATTAAAAACTTAGTTCTGTGAAAGACAACGTTAGGAGAATGGAGAGACAGGCCGCGGACGGGAGGGAATATTGGCCGCGCACACGTCTGATGAAGGGCTGTTACCCAAAACGCACGAGGGTCTTAAAACGCCACAGTAAGAAAGCAAACAAATCGATCTCAAACTGGGCCAAAGACCTGAGCACACGCCTCACCAAAGAAGATACGCAGAGGGCAGACAAGCCTGTGACAAATGTTCCGCGTCCTACGTCCTCAGGGGAATGCGAAACCTGGGAGCAGCCGAGACGTCCCTCAGCAGGTGGCGGACGAGCGACTGTGGTCCATCAGGCAAGGGAACATGGCTCAGCGCTGACAAGAAGTGAGCTGTGCAGCCACGGAGGGGCTGGCGGGAGCTGAAACGGGGGAGTCGGTGGAAGGGCCCATCTGCGCGGTTCCAACCGTGTGGCCGCCTGGGAGAGAGAAAACTGTGGGCCAGCGAAGGGGCCAGCGGTTGCCAGGGGCCGGGGAGGAGGGCCAATGGGGGAGCACGGAGGGTTTTAGGGCACTGAAAATAAACCCGTGATTCCGAGTGTGTATGGAGGATGCGTGCCATGGCACACTGCCGGGCGGTCGACGGTGAGTGTGACCAGGGTGGAAGCGGACAGCGTGCGGGGACATCAGCAAACGGCCAGGCAGGCGCCCGGGAGCTGCAGAGGGAAGGACAGAGTCTGCGTCTGACCTTGGGCTGTGAGCCCAGCTGGACCATCAGTGAGCACTGACCTCGTGTTTGTCAGCTTCTGACCATGTGTCACGCACACTGGAGATTCTGAGGGGACAGATGGACCCGCGGTGAGGCAAGTTCTGGAGTCACAGGCCTGTGAACTCGTGGGCAGTGTGTACCCAGATGAAGCAGGCAGCCCCGTGTCCCCTGAGCTTCCAGGTGGGCTCCAGGCCGCCCACCTTCCATCCGTGTCCCCCGTGCCCCGCCGTGTTCCCTGCACTGTGCGTGCACGCTCTGTAGCAGCCTGTCACCCTCTCTCAATTGTATCTTTTACAGACTCCTGGAACTAGAACTGGGGTCGTCGGCTCAGATGGGGTTCAGGGCCCAGTGTACACGCGCGCAGCAGGGCTCCTCCCACAGAGGTGGCTTCGGCTGCCTTCCAGATGTGGTGACGTGAGCCCCGGGCTCAGAGCAAGTCAGCAACGCAGTTCAAACGCTGTTCACCCAGTTCACTCGAGCAGAGGAAATCGAAGCTGCGTGGTGCTCGTGCACCCTCGTCTGGGAGAGTCGCTTCCTTCTGAACAAGGGACAAGTGGCAGGGCTCCCCACACTGCCCCAGCTCGGCCTCTGGCCCAGGCGCCTGGGAGCTGCGGTGGAGCGCTGGTGCCCTCTGCAGGCTGCAGGGAGAACGCCCAACCACAGCCGGGGGCTGAAGGGGCAGCAGCGGCCGGAGCCCCCCACGCCAGCCGCCAGCCGCTGGGGCACGGCCCAGGCTCAGCCACAGAAGCCGCATGCGCGCGTGCGAGGTCCCGGCTTCTGTACACAGCTCCTGTCCGTCGACACTCACCGCGCCCTAGGCACTCGGTGTGACGGGCGGCACTCACTGGCCCAGCCCGATGACAGTGTGCCTGCGCTTTGGGGCAATTAGCGCGATCACCTTTTGCCCCTGGGAGACATGACTGACCCTCTTCACAAGGGGACCTGAAATTCAGAGAGAGGAGCGACTTGGCTGATGCTGTGTCCCCAGCGAGCTCAGAGCGGGGTCAAAACCAGCCCCGCTCACTGCAAACACAGCCCCGGCAGCGTCTCGTCCCCACGGCTGACACCTCATGCTCACGTCATCTCTCTGAGCAAATCTCTGGGGACACCAGGAAGCAAAACTTAAAACTGTTTTGTCCTCGTGCAGGAGATGGAATGCTATTAAGAGATTGCCGAGGCCACCGCCCCAGGGGTTAGGGCTGAGGAGACAGCAGGCTGCAGCGTCACTTGGGATCCAGCGCTGGGCATGTGGGCGGTCCTCGGAGCACCCAGCTTTGTGTGAACGGTTTCACAGTGACCAGGCACTAATGTGTGGATTCCGCAATGTGTGGCTCGTATCTGGAAAATTAACGTGTCGCAGCAAACGCTTTGGAGGCCATAATCCTATTAAACACCCTGAATTAGTCATTTGCAGAAACGCACAAGCGGCATGCTGCCAGGTACGATCATTTAAAGCCCGACTTCACGTGGGATGCTACCTTTTCAGTCTGTCATTTTATGTTTAGTACAAAGGTTTAACACATCAAGAAGGGACTAGAAAAAAATTCAGGTTAAAAGCTCCAGTGGATTATTCTAGAAGGTTCTATCAAATCATTTCTAATATTAATGTCAAAATTCAGGAGTTTCTCTACTAAGGGTTTACAATTGTCTATGAAAACGTTATGTATCTGGACTTTGGTAATTAATCTATCAAAGTGTCACCTTTTAAGCTGCTAAATACAAATGCTTTCATAAAGGACAATTATTTTTTTTAATTTGAAGAATGTTTCACTTGGGAGCAAGTCTAGTTAAAATTAAGACAGCTATTCACAAGCTATTTTTCAAACCCAAATCAAGAGCCAATGGCATTTCCCTTATTAAACTGTATTTTTCTAAAAAACCTGCCTCTCTCCTCAGTGTCACTCAGAAGCTACGGCTCCAGACGAGGCAGGGATGGGGAGCGTGCCGTACGGTAGTTTCTGAAGTGGACGTCATGAAGTGATTATTTTGTGGGCCCGTGCTGACGAGAGTGTCAGCGCTATGCCCCTGTGCACCCAACTGCAAAAACTGTGCAACTTAGGACTATAACTGACCCGACGTTAAAACCCGCCAGCTGAGACGGCCAGTCACTGACTCCCTCCCTTGTGATTCTGTGTCCTGAAAACCACAAGGCTGATTCCACAGGGACCTCTCCGCGGACCCCGACCCAACGGCCTGCTAGGCGGAAACATGTCGTTACGACGTGAAAAAGCCGAGGAGCCCCCAGCCCGTGTGGTCCCAGCCCCCCGGGAACGGGGCCAGGGTGGGGAGGCGTGGCGCAGGTCCCCACGCCCCTGCTCCCGGGGTTTCTCGGTCTCAGCAGTGCTGTCACTTTGGGTCGGATGGTCCCATTTGGGGACTGTCCTGGGCGTGCAAGACCTCAGCCGCATCCCTGGGCCCCACCCTTCCAGGGACCACCCGCATCACTGCTTTGCCACAAGCCCGGGAACAACAAGCCCTGCTCCCAGTGGCCCAGCGGGGCGGCCGGGAAGTGACGACACCCACGCCACACAGCAGACTGCTACTTAGTCCAACATTTTCATCCCAGTTGAAACTTTGTCACTCACACTGACTACAGAAGCAGCAGGACCACTTAGCCGGTTACCACGGGTTCCGCAGGCACCACGTGTCCACAGTTTAGCTGGAAGACCCCAGGCACCGTGAACACAGACAGGGCCGGCGTTGGAATGTGTCCTGTGACGTGGACAGCTGCTGTGTTGTTTTCTCACGATTCCGAATCCACCTGTTTGTGACATTGGTGCAGCTGTTTTGATCTGAGGAACGTGGAGGGGCAGCTACCACCTAACGGACGTTTAGCTGTGACGCCGAGAGCCAGTGACGGCTCACCCAACGTGTGGCCTGCATGAGGCGACTCTCGGGTCTCCGTGGCCTCTGCAGACCTGGGGGGCCTGCTCCTGCTGGAGGCCGAAAGCAGCACTCCGTCTGCCCCAAGCGCGGCCCATGCTGGCAGCCAGACCCCCGCTCCCGGTCAGCTGTGCGACCCCTCCGAGATCCAGCTCGCAGGAAGGACCACCTCAGCCAGCCTGGACCACACCCCTTAGGTCCTGTGCGACTCATCTGCCACCGGTTTCCAGCACTTTACTCCCTCACTGGCCGAGACATGAGCCTGCATCCTATCGGCCTATGAAACGTTGTTACTATAAATGACAGTTCCTGAAGTGAACCCGGCTAAACAAATGACTCACAAAGACAACCTCAGCCCGTGAGCATGATGTGCGCAGGCAAAACACTGTCGCAATGAAAGAATCACCTCTGCAAACCTAAGGACACCTGTGACACATGCACTTTAATACGCAGAACAGCGGCGCAGTAAAAACTGCCATAAACACACAGCGACCGCGGTGACGTTAGTCCCGCCTCTTCCTTCTCCGTTCTTTCCTCTTCTCTTGTAAGTTCTTCAGGTCGGTCATCACACTCAAAGTCTTGCGCACCCACATGATCTGCAAACGAGCGTGTGAGACATGTTTAGAGCTGGAAGACACACGCACAGAGAGGAAGCAGAAGCTGGACACCTGTAACACGCACCACGAGGATCATGGCGTTGAGCAGCAACGGCGCCGAAAACACGAGCGAAATGAACATCCCCCTGGAGTCAAAATACTGGTACTTTGCAAATAGCCTGTTTTGAGAAAAATGTGAAAATTACTTGGCATCACAAAACAATGATTTTAACAAACATCTCCATTTACCGTCAGGCTTTTCGAAAGCTCTCGTGTCAGCAATGGCAGAACCTGCGACTCAGTGGCCAGCACAGCATGTGTGCTGAGTGACAGTTAGTGACGCACCTGACAAATCACGTCTCGGTGACAGACACTGACTGAGAACCTAGTGTGTGTGTCATCGGCACTGGGGTTGGGGCGGCAAAAAGACAAGACCCGGCTCAGGGACAGCCTGGGTCCGAGGACGGCTGAGACAGTCGGAGCCAGCCTGTCAGGAGTCATCACAGAGCACGAAGCAGCGAGGGACGTGCGCGGGGCTGGGACCTAGGGAGCTCGACTCCACTCGGTCACCCTGGGAGGGCAGCGTGTGGGGTGACGAGAGGCTGGGCTCACGCTGTGTCAAAGGCAGAGGCCACAGAACCTGAGACCATCTGCATGGCGCGTGAGGCCTCCGGCCTGAGTGCCTGAGGAAGAGCCACTGTGCTCTGGGGTGGTTGGGCAGGGAGGGTTAGCTGTGTGATGGTCACCAGACAGCCACAGTCTTCAGGTGGCAGGACGGAGAACCTGGTGCCCCAACGCCTGGAGAACTCGGGTTGCGGAGGGGGCAGCTGACGGGGCGGCTGGTGGGGAGAAGGGAAGGGGCGGTGCTGTCCTGGGAAAAGGCCTTCAGGAGGGAGGGGTCGGGGACAGTGGGTGAACATGCCGCTGGCCCGCCGTGCCCAGAGCGTCCTGTTGCGGGTGGGCGCACGCCTGACTGGGCGGGCTGCGGGGAGGAGGGGACAGTGACCACTGCGCAAGTCGGTGCAAAGAAGCAAAGGGCGGGGGCAGGGCGGGGACTGTTTGAGACAGGTGTGTATCCTGGGTGTCCCCGCTGACTGGCAGTGTCGGAGTAAGGCGCCTGTGATGCAGGAGGGGAGGTGGGGGCGGGGACGAGGGCTGTGACTGCGCTGGCTTCGTGCACGAGGAGGCGTGCTCGTCACCCAGGAAGGGGACCTGGGCACGTCCGCTCAGCACGCTTTGTTAAGTTTAGAGCCAAGAGCACCTGGGTCGGCTCCGCAGGCTCAGAGGCCACGTCTTCAATTTGTTACTGCCGACAGACGAGCTTTTCTTTTTTACTTGCAAAAACTTATTAAAGTTTTACACTTAAAAATGTAAAAGCCACGTCTGGCTCACAGGCCACAAAAAACAGGTATAGGCCAGGCGAGCCGTCGTCTGCAACCCCGTCCTGATCACCAGAAGGTCCTACCTGACACTGAAGGCCAAGGCTCACCGCCAAAGCCTGTCGGTCGGCGTGGCGTGTGTCCTGTCCCCTGCCTGGGCGCAGGTCAAGGCTAAACCACAGGCGGGCTTGACACTCAACTAGGTGACAGATGGGAAAGGGAGAGGAGGGGAAGCCCTGGACAGAACAAGGATGAGGACAGACTGTGGGTCTGGATCCGGGGAGGTGGAGGACACAGGAAGTGGCCTGGCGTTTTGGGTTAGAGGGAGGGCCCTGTGGGGGAGGACGTGGACAGAGCTGCCAGCACCTCACTGCAGGAGGGCTGCCACCAGTGGGGGCCGCACAGGGACGGTGGCTGTCGGGTGGCAAGGACAGCTGCTCTGAGCCCAGAGACAGAACACGGCAGGCCCGGGAGGGCAGCAAGGCCTCAGCACAGCACCCTGTGCTCTGCCCACATGTGGACCCAGCTCTGTCCCACAGGTCCCTTATCCCTCAGTAAAAGCACAGCGGCCCCGCCCGCTCTCACTGTCAGGAAGTGTCAAGCAGCCCTCAGCTGAACTGCTCAGGGGCAGGGTCACAGGGTGTTCACTATCAGCAGCTGCTGCCCACCGGAGCCTGTGGCGCAGACGGGGTCTCACCTCCAGTTCCTGGCGGCCACTTCGTTGATGTACTCGGCACAGTAGACCAGAGTCACTGCGAGAGGGGACAGGGGAGAGTCCCAGGTTAGTGTGAGGGACTTCGGCTGCACCTCCCTCACAAACGAGCAGTTAATGTAAACGCGACAGGACAGCAAGTGTGTGACAAACACTGGGGTTTGTTTTAGATATGACACGAGGCAGAGTTAAACGTAAGGCCACAGGGCACTCCCACTGACAGAGGGACAGCGAGGTCAGCACGCGACCGTCCCCACGGGCTGAGGCGGCGCCGCGGCTCGGTGCGCACAGCGGCCGGGGTCCTTCCGCCCGGAAACCTAGTGCGCGCCCGCTCCGCCCGCATCTCCCATGGGACCGCGCGGCGGGTGCCAAAGGGGAGAGCGGCCCTCGCAGCTACGCGCCGTCCACCTCCAGATCCCACGACAGCGGCTGCCCTGGCGAACCGGCTACCGGGCGGCCACAGCGGTGTGGCGGCAGAGACGGGGCGGACGGCCACCCTGACGTGCCAGCCGCAGCAGGAGCCTCACGGGGGTGCCTTCGTCCCGTCTCACCCTGCCACAGGGCTGCTCCTCGCCTCGCCTGACCCCGTGCGGGGACTCCGCTCCCTGTGACCTTTCTCATCACTCCGCGCCCTGTTCCTTCTCCACGTTCCTGTAGCTCCTGTGCTGAAATCTGACCCGCGAAACGCGTCACTCTGCGCACACGCGCAGCGCCGAGGCCCCCCGAGAAAACCGCCTGGCCAAGAGTCTCAGCGCCCCCCGGAGTCTGAGTGTGGTCTCCTCTCCTCCTACCCAGCACTGAGCCCCCTCCCCGGGCAGTCGGCGCCACGCACTCCTTTCAGAGCCACTGTCCGCAGGAGAGCGAGAGCTGGGAGTGCCCTGCAGCCAAGTGCGACACACGGTGGAAGGGGCAGGTCTGAAGGGCACGTTTATGTGCGGAGAACACGCACGACGCGTGTCACACACAAGTCTCGCTTGCTCTACTCACCCAGGCACAGGAAATGCCCGACCTGCAGCTCACACCTCTGCGACGAGAAACAGGTGAGCAGCAGGCAGAGCACGTGGAAGGCGACCAGCCCCAGGAGCCACGGCTCCGTCCAATCTGTCTGCTGTGGGACACATCGTGAGACATTCAGCAGCGACAGCTCCTGCAGGGCCAGGCTTCCTGTCTCCAGGGTCAGGGGGAGTCAGTGGGCCTTCCTTCACTCCCAGAACTTCCTGCTGCTGAGCAGGCATTCAGGGAGGACCCAGACACGGGGGACGGGGTGAGGGCAGCAGCAGGAGAGGGGGAGGGGAGGAGGGAACCTGAGCGGCCCCATGGCAACCGCTGCCCAGGGACTGAAGGGCAATCACTGGCATGGTGCTGGGCACACAGCACTCGGCCTCATGGACTGGCGCTTCTGCTTGCGGAGCAGAATCAGTCTTTGGGCTGAGCAGAACCTAAGGATGGTGTCCCCTGGTGAGGGGGAAGTGCAGGGGCTCGTTCTGGAGATGCACTTGGTTTCTCCCAGAAGACCAGTGCTTAACGCCTGGGAAATCCGAGCCATCTCAATTTGCGAGATGTGACTTTCTGCCTTACACCCAGCCCTCCAACTAGAGCTGCGATCTCAGGTCTCCTCAACTTTATGGGTGGACATATCGGCACCCCTAAACTCAGATGCTCCCCCAAACTGATTCCTGCCCATGCTCAGATCCACACCCTGCCATGCCCCCCTCAGGCCCCGCGAGGAGCCCTCAGGCCTAAGTGTGTGCTGTCCGCCTGCACGCCGAGGCACCGCAGGACCGCGCACAGCGGTCACCCTACAGCTTGGGCACGGTAAGCTGGCCATGAGCTATGTCCATCAACGCGCATCCGAGGGGCTAGAGCGAGGAACAAGGAGAGGGCGGGCAGGGCAGAGCGCGGGCAGAAGCAGGAGGCCACAATACACGGGGACCGGCACGCTGGGGGAGCCGCAGCACCTTGCCACTCCGGCCACACCCGGTCTGCGCCCTCTCGACCCTCCCCGCCGCACTGCTACCCCGCCCTGCCTGTCATCCGGCACAGCCTTAAGCTCCGCCCCCACGGCCCAGGCCCCGCCTACGGAAGTCCCGCCCCGGCCCAGGCCCCGCCCGCGGAAGCTCCGCCCACACCAACCAGGGCCCCCACCACACCCAGGGGCCACCCCTAAAGCCGTCCGCGGGCTGTCGGCGTCCGTGGCGGCTGCTGGGAAGCACGGGCAGCCCCAACCGCCAGCGACCGAGCGGGCCATCAGGTTACCGTGATCACGGAGGGAATGCTGACGGGGAACGAGCTGACTGAGAAGGCGGACGGCATCGTCCCTGGGAAATCCCACTCTTACCACCGCCGTCTGGCCGGCCACGCCCCGCGCGGCTACCGCACGGAGGGCTTCCGGCGTCGTCTCTCGCGAGATCTGCATTTATCGCGAGACCTGTTGGTCGGAAGAAGGAGGGTGTGCCCAGTTAACTCGCGATATCTCCAAGCCCAGTCCCGGGTCCACGTCTCGCGGTATTCAGGGGTGTTAAATATAATGACGCTCGACGTGCGTCGCCGTCTGTCACGAGTTCCCTTCCGACCGCTGGGCAGGAGCGGGAGGGCGCTGTGAAGTGCGTGGAGCCGTCACAGTGCCCAGCTGTGCAGCTGGCCCCGCGAGGCCGGCGGCCGTTCGCCTAAGGCCCTTTTGCCCGGTGTTCCGTGTCCCCGGCCCTCTGCCGGGAAGTCAAGGCGACGGCCGACGGCCCGCTGCGCCCTCCCCTCGGGGACTGGCCAAGAAGGACGCCTCACGCCTCCCTCAGCAGAGCCTTTACGGTCACGGTGCCACGTCCCCGGCCGGCCCCCAGCGGTGGCTCCTCCCGACTCCGTGTGATTCCCCCGAGAGGTTGTGCAGCTGCTGTCCCGACTTGTCCCCAGCGTGGCAGCCACTCAGGGCGGGGCCTGCGTGTCCTCACAGCACCTGTGAACAGGCCTGTCTGCACTTTCCTGCCAACTCCCCCGAGTCCGCGGTGTACGATCCCTTCCTCCACGCTGAACCTGGAGACCCTGGTGACAGCTCCTAGGCTCCTGGGACTTTCTGTCCTATGCCAACCTCCGGGTTCCTGGTTCGACTCCGGGGCCTCTGGGCTGCACGGTTTTGATCCCGATGTGAAGCTACAGTGCAGGTTACCACAGAGCCTTTGACAGCAATGCGGATTTTATTTGTTTTCATAGAAATCAGCCTGCGCTTCCAGTAGAAGCAGCCCTGCCTGTCACCCCTCCCAGCAGGTGGGAACTCCCCTTGCCCCTCCCCTCTTGCTTCCAACTGTTCTCTGTTTCCTCCTCTTTCCTCCTCAACATTCAGAAATGAGCCTTTCCTTGGTCTGACGTCGTTATACCTTTTCTCAAAACTTGAATGAAAACGGAAGGCAGGCGTACCTCTTCCCCCAAGGGATCCTGGAGAACAGCTCGGGTCCACTTCTCCAGAGCCCCGGGCGCCAAGCGTGAGAGCCACTGCGTTTCCTTCCATTTGTGCCTCCTCCGGGCTGTGGTGTTCGTTAGGGTTCCGGCTGCTGCTCGAGATTCTTCCCTGAGGGCCTTCTCTGCCCTCTTTCTGTTGTGCTGCTGTCCCTTTTATTTCAGTGGTCACTTAGCTTCCTGTCACAGATTTTCACCTTTGCCCAAAGTCAGGCATGCACAGTGTTCCCTAAACCTAGGTCAAAAGATCCAGAAACATGCAAGATGATTCCGTGCGTGGAATCTATAAAAACGTTTAACTCAAAGCTGACACGCTTGTTCTGATGCTACATCCCCCTAGGAGGTGACACTGTGTGCCTCCTGCGGAGGCCTTCGTTCTGTTCCCCTGTCCCGCCCAGAGGCGCTCATGCTGGGGTGAAGCCTGGTGGCTGGAGTCTCCGGACTCAGGGCCGAGCGCATTGCAGATGAGGCTCCAGCAGGTGGCAGCACGAGGCCTTGTACCAGCTCCTGCGCTGGAGAGACCTTGCGCCTTTTTTCCAAGTTGTTTGCAACAAAATTAACTTGCATATATTCATAGCTGTTGAATTGAGAGATGTTAGTCAACAGTATTTAATTTTAGATGGAGAAGTAATGTTTTTCTGAACATCATAGAATGTTATTTTTTATTTATTTGATTGCCTTTAGGAAATTGTCATTTTAAAATGTGTTTGTGAAAAATTTACAATTATGAATAATAAAAGCTTTACAGGTAAAATCCAACAAATTTAATATCTTACCTTCGCTTTCTTTTTTCGATAGTCTATGCCTCCCCGCCTCGGTGGCGGAGTTCACAACTGTGTGGGCCCCGGGACGCACTGTGTCCTGCCAGTTGGCTGATTTCGTTGCTGACTTTATCTGATCTGAGCCTCTCCAGGACATTAGTCATGCCTTATCTATTTATTTTACCCCCTCACCACATTTGATAGTCACTCTTGTGAGACTGTCAGGTGTTCAGAAAACCTATGATCCCACTGACAAATTGTAGTCATATTACTCAGTTAATAAACGCACTCAGGTCGTCGGTAAGTTCTTCCTCGAACACCTACTATGACTCCTAGTTAAGCATTAGAAATAAAAACATGGAGCTGCGCAGTCCGCCCACAAACAGAACCAAAGTGGGCTGGGTCCTGCGTGAACCCTGCGTGAACTCGGCTCCGCGGTACGATAGGAAACGAATTAGAAAACGGACGGACCGGAGGCAGCGCCACTGACGGACACTGCTGAGGCGCAGTCCTCAGCTCACGAAGGGGAAAGGCTTGGGAAGGCACGTGGAGCGGACTGCAGGGCTCGTGGAGTTGGAAGCGTGCCATCGTGGTGACAGCGTAGGTATGACACACGCTGACCGCTAGGCGAGCTGCCACTGTGAAGTTGGGGTCAGGAGGCGCGTCTTTAAACGGTGATCTTTGTTTCTGAGTCGAGTGAGTGGCGATGTTGACGTTAGCTGTATTTCGCTCCTGTGCTTCTCGGGTACGTTCAGCGTGGTTTTGGCAAGGCAGGATAATTCCACCTCCTAGTCCTTAACTGTCCTTAATAAAAACACCTGAAACCTCTCACTGTGGACGTGGAGACTGCTGATATCCTGCGCTCTTCCCAGGACACTGTCCCAATACATGTGCATGTGAACGTGGACTGTTCGTGTAGACACTTAAGGAGAGGCATGCATTTGCATGCAAGTAAGAGCCGTCTGTTATTAGGGTGCTTAATCATTTCTACAAAATGACTTTAATCACAGCCATCACAAAAACTGTCATGGCACAGTTCATCAGGCATTGTGGAAGCAATATGAAACTCCAAGGAAGAATTTTCCCTAGGAATAATATGTAATGTTACAGCACAGTTTTTTAAAGCTGCCTTTTAATAGCAGCGTGTGACTCTGTAAGCGCCCCGAGGCACTCTCCCCCTGCCAGCTTTCACTCCTCCGAGTTCTGAAGGGCGTCTGACTCTAACAAGATTCCTCCAGACCCCCGCTCGGCACAGCAGGCCTGCCGCTGAGGAATCTGTGTTCTCAGTTAACGAGCCGGTTTGTGTTTGAGGCTTAAAAGTGGCCAGATTCGTTATTAAAATAGAATGTGTACTTTAAGTCATTATTGGGGGGGAAATATGGGATAAGTCTGGGGGGGCTGGGATGCTTCTCTTTGAACTCAGAGGAGTTGGCTCTATTCTGGTCATTATGGTAGAAGCATTAAGTCCAGCCTGTAGCTGTGACTTCAGTTTGCGTGTTATTTATTTCAGTGTTAATGCCATCAAGTCACTGAAATGCCCCACCCGCCCTCCTAGGTGGACTGCGCCTTCTCGGGGACCTTGTCAGCACTGAAAAAGACATTTGCTTAGTGCCTCTCTTTCTCTCCTCAGTTTATCTTGGTCACATGGACAGGGACAGAGATTTTCTTCATTCCATTAATTAACTAATTGACGTGTAACTTATAGCTAACGCCGCCTTTATCCAAGGGTTGAAAGAGCTTAGGTTTCTGGGGTGGTTTTCCTCGTCTTAGAATTTGGGTGAAATGATCAGTGGGTGTCGGTCACCAGCCACATGGGCCAGGTGGTGGGTGCCCCTCCCCCCGGATGTGCAGCCTGACGGAGTGTGCCCCCGAGTCTGCCGGCGGAACGGGCTGGGCAGCCTGGACGTGCTGACAATGTGTGCTCCCAGCTCCGGAGGCCAGAGGTCCAATCCCAGGTGTGGGCAGGGCCGCCTCCCGCTGGTGGCTCTGGAATAATGTGTGTGTGGGGGGCGGGGGCGGGGAGCGCGCAGAGAAGTAAAATGTTAGTAAAGCTTCAGTCAGGACTGCCATGTGCTGACCAGCCCTGCTCCAGGCCGGGAGGACACCACAGAGCAGAGGAAGATTTCTGCTGGATCGATGACAGCCCACGCCCCACACCTGTAACGGGAAACTGGGACCAAGAGTCATTCTCTATGGCTGAAACCCCGGGAACCCAAGGATTCAAGGCTGGGGACCGCCAGCAGGCCTTCCACTCAACACAGCTACCTTCCTATTCAGGCGACAAACTCTTCCCCTTCCTCACTCCGTGTCCATGACAAAGGAAACGGGAACGAAAGAGGGACATGTAGAACGAATTCCCTGAACACTCAGGGTCCCGCTCAGTGCCCGTCGTCGCCTCTACTGTCTCCGACCCTCTGAGTCCCTCTCACTGGCCCCCACTCGCTCCTTCTCCGTCTCTCTTGGTCCCTCGCACTCTGCCCGGAGGAGACTGCGCTCTGCGGAGTGTGACCGCTTCTCTAATAAACTTTCCTTAGGACTCTGGCGTTGGCGCGTGTGTTGAATTCTTTCTTCACTCTCCCGAAGGACCCTCTCCTCTCGGCGCAGGGCTTGGTGGCCCTGCCACGCGGGAAAGTGCCCCGTCCTGCGCCGGGCAGGGTCCTCGGTGGGGGGCGGAGGCCTTGGCTGTCCCCGTTTGCAGCAGCATCGCGTGGTGTCTGCCTCCCTCCCCGGCGCCCTCCCCGTCTCCGTCCCGTCTGTCATCAGGGTGCTGGTCACTGGATTAAAGTCCCCCGACTCCAGTCTAGCCTCCCCCCACCTTGATGGCACTTGCAAAGACCCTGCGTCCACAGGGCCACATTCGCAGGTGTGGGCATTAGGACTTGGACACATCTCTTTGGGGCCCATTGACAAGAGGAATGACAAGAGACACTGCCCTGTAACCGAGGTGCCCGCTCAGGAGGTGCCGCCTGGGCCACAGGAACGGGAAACTGCGGTTCTGGACACTGAGTGGGATGGAAAGACGCCATCTGGGGGCACGGGAATGGCGGGGTGCGCTGCCTGCGCGCCCTGCCTCAGCGCCTGTCCGCCACCTTCTCTTCCCTCGCTGCGGCCACCTTCGCAGCCACGGCCTCAGGGCGCCGCTTCCTCCTTCAGGCTGATGCGTTTCCGCCGGCCTCGGCAGCACAAAGCGGTGGCTTCTGCAGCCACGACCGCTTGGGATCCGCCGAACCCTCGTGACGGTTTATTTTCTAAGTTTTGCGGGTGGGAGGCCTTTGCAGCAACGATGCAGCTTTGTGTAAGGGGACTAATACCTCATTGCAGCTTTGTTTCCAACTGTTCATTTGCATTCTGCTGTATAATTATGTTTTTATGCATATTGTTTTTCAACTACAAAAACTTTTAAGAATATTCCAGGCAGTTTGACTACTCAGACACAGCAGCACGATAGTCACGGTGACAGCTGTTCTCGGAAGCTGACTGTGAGAAGTCCATCGCAGGCTGGTGGCTGTCGCTCTAGCACCCACTCTGCCCAATGGTCCCCGGTGTTTAACACACCACGGCTGGCCTCTTGTTACCATGGCAACCCCCTAGGGAACTGGCAGGGTCACAGCCCCTGCTCTTGCCACCTCGGGGCGCTGGCTGCCTTCACATCAGCCCCACGAGTCCCTCTACTGGTCCAGAACAGGAAGAGAAGGCTCATGGGCTTCCCCACGCTCGGAGATGGTCACTGGTTCATCTCACTTATTTTCAAGACACTGTAGATACATAAAATATAATTATAAATACAGGTGCGAAATGACAGTGAATTCCCACCTCCACTTCAAGTGATGATCGGCTCATTCTCACCGAATGAGTGGGCCCGAGGCGTCCGGGGCATCTCATCCTGGTCACTTAGGGTGTCGGCTGTTGTCCTGGTGCCACAGAGAGAGACAAAGCCCCTGGGGGGGAATGGTGCTGTGGGCGTGGGCGTCCGAAGCCCGCTGACCATCAGCAACAATCGGCGGGGGACCATTCTGAGCTTCTGATAAGCAGGTAAGTCTCTGAGGCCGAGGCCTGAGCAGAGGCTGCTGGCGGGGCGTGGGCAGGGTCCCTGCGGCTGACCTGCCCCCAGTGTGGGGTCACGGTCTGACACACACGGGCCCTCCGTCCTGACATCTCCTGTGGGTTGGGCTTGGACAAGTTTGTCAGTTTTCTTCACACAGAGTGTTTTGTCCTTCGGGAAAGGTTGTCACGTGGTTCTGTGGTGACACCCTGCTCTGTGAGTTGGCTCTGCTGCCACAGCGAGACCCTGTGGATGGCGGCTTAAACAACAGATCCACCACCTCACTGTCCCCAGGGCCGGACGCCCACGGCCGCGTGTCAGCAGGCTGGCTGCTCTCCGCCGGCGTCCTCACGTGGTGGCCCTCCGTGCGCCTGGGCCCCCATCTCCTCTCACAGGGACACCAGTCGGACTGGATCAGAGCCACGCGCGTGAGCTCGCTCTGCCTGAATCAAAGGCCAGACCTCCCAATGCCATCGAGTCTGAGGCAGCGGGGGTGGGGACCGCAACGCATAAATTTAGGGGAGACACACCTCAGCCCATTACGCCGCCCAAGGGGACGCTCCGCACAGAGCCGAGGACTCGGCTCACTTCACGTCCTCCTTTCTAATTCGGTGGCGTTTGGAGAGAGGAAAGAAAATGGA